GGCGGGGCGCACATTGTCAGCGGCGGGCCGGGCCTGGGCCTGGGTAGGGGTTAGGAGCGCGGGGGTTGGGGGCCGGGGACCGTGCTGGATCTGGGTAGTGGTCTGTGCGGGCCAGGGGCAGCGGGCCTAGCCGACTCACATGCAGGGTAGGGGCGTCCGGCGACTTCGGATCTGCAGATCGCGCCCGAGTCCCACCCGGCCCCGGCTCCCCCGCCTTCCTCCCAACTTCGTTTTCCGGGCAGAAAACCATTGTCTGGCCCGAAGCGGGAGGTGGGACAGGCGCATTTCCCGCCCTCGCCGCCGAGGGGCGCTACTCCGGCGTTTCCCCCACGCCTCCACCGCCTGTGACCCGGGTTTCTCTGGGTTGGGGTGGGGGTGGGGGTGGGCGTCCTATTTTGCTTGGGGGAACAGGGGCGCGGGGATGGGGCGAGGACCGGATAGAAGGCCGGCGGAAGGGGCAACTAAAACGGAGCAGCCCAGAGTTTTTACCACTGAAGGCGAGAGAACATGCATTAGCTGAAAATGCCCCCTGCTGGGCTCCAAGTTCTTACTAAGTAGCTGTAAAAGTGGGACTCAGCCCCCGAGTTATAGGGACAGCGGGGAGCAAATCGACCTCAGCTTAGTTTGTTGGGGTTTTGATTATGTGAACGTGAGCGGGAGGGGGTAGTTTGCGGAGCTGGGTCCCGCGAAAGACGGACATTCGTGGGCCACCGGGGTTGGCAGGAGGTGGGGTCCCGCGGATCCGACGCCCGCGGCAGAAAAGCCACCAGATACACACGGGAGTGGGGATAGCCCTGCGCTTCCCTGGTCACCGTGGGCAGCCCCCCAGCCCTCTTCCCTGCTAAGACTGAATTCCGTTGAGCGACCACACTAAGTTCTTTGTATTTTGAACCACAGCAAGTCAAATATAACGGTGGAGGTGTATTTTAGCTTTAACTTTATTCTCACTTAATAAACTCTAACTCAATGGGAATTCATGTTATTTATGCCTTGAACGCACCTTCAAAGTACTCTCTCTGTTGAGCAAATCAGAAAAGGTGCTTCTTGTGGGAGCCTGTCTCCATTTAATTGTGATCGTTAAGACCATATTTATGAATGATGCTGGAGGAGAAATACATACTTTGTTTTAACAGAAAGGCCTGCTGTAGAAAACGAACTGTAGGAACTCATCTTACAAGTTATGGGTTATTCAGTTTATTTGGTAAAGTTGGTCACATTTATTTGGTGTTCTGGAAAGAAGTTGCAAACTTAGGTGCTGTTTGCAAAAGGTGGCAGGGGAAAAATATATCTGTTTTATCTATATCTATCTATATATCTCTCTATCATCTATCTATCATCTACCTATCTATATGGCTTAGGAGGGGCTGCGGGAGGAATTCCCGTTTTGTGATAAAGTGAGCAGTGGGGAGGAGAGCCACATGTGGTTTGTACTAGCTCCTTTGGTTCCTGATTTGTGCAGCTAGGCAGTAAATTGTGGGGCCTGGGGCAAAGGTGCATTTATTGTAATCCTACAAATAATTGAATCAGGTTGAAACCATGTCTGCTTGCTGAAATTCATCTTGGATATAGGATTTATTTATTTATTTATTTTTTTGGATATAGGATTTAGCCGTGGAAGTTTCCAGTTTCCTTTGTAATACACCAAATGCCAAGATACTTGCTTAATATTTTCAAGAAGAAAAAGCTTTTAAAAAGAAAGTTCTTTCTTCCTTTAAGAAATAAATTAGTTCAGAATTTGATACTAACACATTGAAAACCAAATTGATTTCTTGGAAAGTTTAGCGTGTACATCCTCTACCCAACTTTGAACACCTAATTGAGGAAAGGAATGTTTGGACAATTCATTAGGAGAAACACACATGATAGGCTTAACTAACATGAGACCTTTAGATAAATCCGATGAAGGGTATGATCCAAAATGTGTGAAGTGCAGGGAGGAATAACTTCAGCTAAACCAGGTGTGTCACATTGTGGGTTTGGACTGAAACAGATGCGTCTTTGTTTTGACTCACATTTCAAGAATTGCAGGGCAAGTTAAAACTAATCTTATTATTCATTCAACAAACAGTTACTTGGCATCTGTGATAATGTGGGCACTGCTAGATGCCGTAGCAAGTCCACAGCGGTTCTTACAGTGCCCATGGAATGTGTTCAGTGCCGAGGCATTGCTCACCTGTGTGGTCCCTGGGCACTTGGAATGTGCTAGTGCTACTGAGGCATTGAATTTAAAATTTTAATTTTAAGCAGTTTAAATTTAAGCAGGCATTCGAGGCTTATGGTCATCATAACGGATTCCATGCAGGTCTGTAGGAATACATGAGATCTACATTAAGGATATTTTAAGTGAAAGTAGAAATACAGTGCCATAAATTAGTGCTGGGACATGAATAGTTTATTTACACTCACATCTATGCTTAATTATATATCAGAATATTTAAAATGTGCAAAAAAAGATCACCGAAATGCAGGCAACAAAGACAGTGAATACTTCTTTTCAGGGAGTAAATATTTTATTCAGTATCACTTCATGTAAGCAACTATGCTAGGACAAGCATTAAGTCAGTCGTATCTGAAATACCATTAAGAAAGGCTAAGAATGTCTATGCTGTGCATGTGGATTGGAAATTGAAGCAACAGAGCCGAGGAATGACGCTGCTGTCATTGTGGAGTCAGAGATGTCACGAATGGAGATTAATCAGGGACCCTGAATGTGGGAGTTAAAACTGGGTAACAGTAGGGAAGCCTTCCCAAACATTTTTGCAACAGCTTTGTCTATGGAAGAATCCTATCTCTCTACGGCAACTCAAGAACATTGGCAAAAAGGTAACCAGACCTTCCCCCTACAGATCTGTACGGGGCGGATTCAGGATACAGAAAACCACACACAATATTTGCTATTTAATGTAATAATTGGTTCCTTCCCCCGAGCTCCTCTCCACATTTGCAAGACCACAGTGTGACTCATGTGCTCACGGTGTTATGTTATGCCGTTTCTGTATATGTAACGGGTAAATGTTATATAAACTTGACACACGATGTTTACGTATCAGAACTCAAGTAAAAATAAGCATCACTGAGCACTTGCAAAAGTCCTGGAGCTTTCAGTTTGACTAAGAGCCCCTGGGCACACAAACCAAACATCAACCCCTGGGCCCTAACCTGAGATCCTGACCCAGGACACCCTGGGGACGGCCTGCAGCCCTCACTGTTTAGCACACTTCTTTTTTTAAATGTCTTTTAATTAGTACACGTATATAGTACATAACGATTATTTTCATTGTGTGGAGTTGGTCTGTGAACATAAGGCACCTTCATTCTTTTTATGTACCCTTCCCCTGCTGTCTTTTTGTCCCTTTCCCTTTCACAGAGTTCTATCACTGGTCAGCATACTCCTTATAAAGCTCACCTGTCCAAGCCTTTGTTTTACAGGTGAGCAAAAGAACCCCAAATTGTTTCTGGTGCAGGGCGGTGGAGCCTGGTCCTGTCCCTTCATGTATGCTCAGGGGGATTCACAGCCACTCTAGCGAAGCAGGTTGCATACAGAAGGCCTTGTGAACTTGAATGTGGTGGAAGCAGCAGGCTGTCTCCTGGTACAGTTCCCTTGCCCTACCCCTGTCCCTGTCCCCCAGGCTGCATAGTCTATTACAGCAGCACTAAAGACCGGCCCAGACCAGGGTCCCCCAGATCCTGGGGCCAGTGGGAGGTTCAGGGAGACAGTTACAGAGGGCTGGAAATGAACAGTTAACTCCATTCTATGATGCAGCAGTGCAGTCCTCATAATAGGAGGTCTCCATTGCATGAGGGTTTTATTTCAAAAGGTGGAATTTATTAATTTTGTGATCAGGTTCTAATTTCCTGCTATTACCAGTTTGAACATCTTTATCTTTATATGTGCAAAGTGCTAGTACCAGGTATGCTCCCTGTGGGTCTGCACTAATTTGCACTCACACCGAAGGTCATAGGGTGCCTCTGCCCCCTAACGCAGCAGCCCCAGCAGTTGTGAATTAATCTTGGAGATTTCTGTGTGCACTTGTGCCTGAGCCGGTCTCGGTGGCATCCTAACACAAACTAATCACGGTACTTCCAATCCCTCAAGTCCTGTCTCCCCAGACCACTGCCTGGTGCAGAATTGTTACAGTGTAAAATGATTTTGCAAGTGCAGTTTTCCAGTGCAAATTGCATTATTTTCACAACTTTAAAATTGACTTATATTAAGGAAAGTCCCAAATCTAGGGGGAAGCCCTTACTTAAAACAAATAATTCATGGACAGATTTACAGTGGTACCCCCATGCACAATTTATGAGTTTGCTAATTGATCTTCCTTCATACCCGAGATGGTCCCAAGCATCCTTTGCAATCCTTGGGACACTGTCAGTAAACCCCTGGGACTGGAGAGTGATGGATTTGAGAACTGCTGTGCACAGTCCCCTCTGAATCTCTCTCATATCCTGTCCCTCCCACCCCCATCAGCGGGGCTACTTCTTGTCTGAAAGAATACAAATGTGGAAATGTTGTTTAGGGGTTACACAAAAAAGAGATTGTTAACTCTGCTGATTGTTGATGAGAGAGTATGAAGATGTGTGGGAAGAATTCCTATTCAAGTTAAAAGATCCTTCCCCTGCTTCTGGTTGGCAAAAATCTCAGTAGTGATCAGAGGATTTGCATTTGGAATCAGGGATATTTGGATCTGGAAGGGACTGAAAAAATCCCACTTTGTAGGTGAGGACAAGATGGCCCAGGGAGTGTTGGAG